GTAGTGAATGTAGATCATTGGAAATGTACCAATCAGATGAGGTAGGGCGGAGCTTCTTCAACCAGCTCCACGACTAGCGGAGGGTCAGTGAGATTGCAGCGACAATCGGTACAGAACTGCACACTCAGAGAATGACCCAGCACAGAGGAAGGTACTTCAGCCTGTCATTGTCTGCATCAGCTGTCTGTACGGGCAACTTCACCAGTCCCACCCGCCATGTAAATCTCTCATCATTCAACTCTCTCCTGAGGGCCACGAATGATTTTGCTTCTAGCGCCCTCTCAGGCAGTGCACAGCCGGCAGTAACCACTCGCTGAGGATGGTGGGTCTACCTCCCTCGATAAATGTGACTCTTCGTTACAAAAAAGGCGAATCACCACCCCCGCCCCCCAAACCCATCCCACCCCGTCTATTTCTTTGGAATGTGCAACTGCCTGCAGTGTCAATGTGCCTGCAGTTGTTAAAAGGGTCTGATTTTGTGCTGTTCTATTCTGCGAACTAAACAAACTGAACTGTTAGCAATGCAAAAAATGCCTGCCTCTTCCCAAATCAAATCAAAGCAAATACTTGAAACAAATTCTAATTCTGCTCGAGTAATGTCACTGTCAGGACGTACTGGGACACAATTATGAACAGAATTTCTTAGACTAATCCATCTGTCCTGGAATATATGAACTCTGATCCCCAAACCACTCCAACATCCCCAACACCACTCCCCTCCCTTCATGGAAATGAACAGCATGATGGTGGATATTAAGTTCAGTACATTGAATAAGTCACGAATCGTTTAGCTTCGACTCCAAACATTCCAATTATAATCTGGTAATTTAGAATTGCAAATTAAGATTCAAGAGCCATAGAGATGTAAAGGATGGAAACAGACTGATTGCTGCCACTTGTCTATTCGAAACAGATATCCTAAATTATTTTAGTCCCATTTGCCAGCATTTGGCCCATATCCCTCTATAACCTTTCTATTCATTTACCAATCCTGATGCCTTTGAAGAGTTGCGATTGTACCACCTCCTCCATACATGCAGCACTATTCTCTACATGTAAAACTGCCCCTCAGGTCCCTTTTAAATCTTTCGCCTCTCAACTTAAACCCATGCTCTCAGGTTTGGATTCCTTTCCCTGAGGAAAAGATCTTGGCAATTCACCCTATCCAAGCCCCTCATGATTTTATAAACCTCTGTAAGGTCACGCCTCAGCCTACGATGTTCCAGGGAAAACAGCCCCAACCTATTCAGCCTCCTCTGTCTATAGCTCAAACCATTCAATCCTAGCACCATCCTTGTAAATCTTTTTCTGAAACCTTTCAGTTTAACAACTTTCCTATAGCAGGGAGATTATAACTGAATGCAGTATTCTAAAAGTGGCAATGTTCTGTACATCTGCATCGTAATGCCCAAACTCCTATACTCAATACATTGATCAATAAAAGCAAGCATGCCAAATGCCTTCTTCGCCACCCTGTCTAACTGTGACTCCACTTTCAGGGAACTATGCATCTGCACCCCAATGTCTCTGTTTGGTGACACTCCCCAAGGCCCTACCATTAACTTATAAGTCCTGCCCTAGTTTGCCTTACCAAATCGCAACACCTCACATTTATCTAAATTAAACTCTATCTGCCACTCCTCGGCCCATCTGATCAAGGTCCCATTGTATTCTGAGATAACATTCTTCACTGTCCACGACAACATGAATTTTGGGGCCATCTGCAAACTTACTAACCATCCCTCCTATGCTTCCATCTAAATCATTCATATAAAACTATGTACAAGCAGTGTCCCAGCACCAATTCTTGTAACACACCACAGGTCACAGGTCTCCAGTCCAAAATATAACACTCTACCATCACTCTGTGCTTCCTGCCTTCAAGCCAGTTTTGGATCCAAACCACTAGCTTCTCCTGGATTCCATGTGATCTAACCAGTCTACCATGAGGAACCTTTTCAAACACCTTTCTGAAGTCCATCCAAACAATGTTTACCTCCCTGCCTTCATCAATCTTCTTTGCCACCTCTGCAAAATACTCAAGTTAGTGGGACATGAATTACATCACACACAGACATGTTGACCATCCGTAATCAGTCCGTGCCTTTCCTAATGCATGTAAATCCTCTCCCTGTGTCTGAAACAAACATGTCATAACCATGGCGAAATATTTCACCCCAAGGTGAGTTTTCAATCACATATCCCCACCATCACCAAGACTGCCCACTTCCACCTTAGTGACATCACCCGACTCCTCCTCGTCTGCTCATCTACTACTGAAACTCTCATCCATTCCTTTGTTACCTCTGGACTTAACTATCCTTACACACTGCTCACTATCCTCTCACATTCCCCTCTCTGCACTTGTCTAACTTCCTCTGCCTCTGTTAATGAGTGTATGGGAGTTCTGTTTAGTGTCTTATTGTTCCTTACATTAACTCTATCTGAATGAGGTTTTTACCACTGCCCATTCTCCCCACCATGTGCTGCTGCCTTAGCAGCTTTAGCTTCCCACACAAATGCCCACAATGCTGTAATGGAAGGAGTTACAGGTTATTCACCAAGTGATGAAATCCTGAGGTCATCCTCAACTCTGCTGCCCGCGTGAGTATTCACACCAAGGTTTGTTCACCCACCACCCCCTGTGCTTGTGCGGCTAAATTTTAAACTTTTCATCATTCTGTTCAATCTCTTGATAGATAGAGAGGAGACTATCTCTGTAATGTCTGCCGGCATCCAGCCCTCTCAAGGGCAATTAGGGATGGCAAGTACATGCTAACCCAGCCAGTGATGCCCACCCCCACCCCAAATATGAATTTTTAAAAATGCCCTTGCGTTACCTCCAATTCCAACCTCCTGAGCATTCTCGATTTTAACCGTCCCACATTTGGTCCCCTTAATCTTTAGCTGCCAAGGCCACAAACTGTGAAATTTCCTCACTAATCCTCTCCCTTTCTCAACCTCAGTTTTGCACTTAATAACACTCCTTGAAAACGACACATTTGCCCATTAAACATTTTGTCACCTCCCTCATATCTCGTTATGTGACTGGGGTCAAAAGTTGCATTATAACACTCCTGAGGAACAGCTTGGAAGTTTCCATTATTTGAAGGCCCTATATTGATATAAATTAATTGTCGTTGATTTGGACACATATCACAATCCCTTCATCACCACTTGGTGAATAATTCCTTACCCAACAGCTTTGTGGGAACTACTCAGGGAAGATAATTGCTCGCAGCAAATGGTCAGGCAATGTTCAGCCGTAAACACCTCATTTAGAGAATCAATGGCAGTAACAATAAAATACCTACTCAGAGACAGTAAGAACTTCCGATGCTGGAGTCAGTGATAACACAGTGTGCAGCTGGAGGAACACAGCAAGCTGGGCAGCATCAGAGGAGCAGGAAAGCTGACGTTTCGAGTTGGGACCCTTCTTCAGAATTTCTGAATAAAGTACCTAAGTCGGTTACACCCATTATGGGAGACAGAGGAGGTTAGAGAATGGCAGAGAGTTAATCAGGGAGAGCAGAGATGAACCAGAAGAATGGATGGTCACTGATTCAGGACTTTTATAAAGCAACTTTTGACACCAGTTACATAATGAGATATTAGGTGAGTGATGAAATGGGTTGCACCAACACCAGAGTCAGATAACTGAGAACAGCACGTGAAGCAAAATGTGTACATTACTGGTCAAAGATACTGAAATAATTTCATTGTCTTCAACTTTAAAATCAAATGCTGGAGTCTGCAGCTCAAAAGATATCAGAAGCACTGGGGTCAGAGGAAACCCACAGTTCAGGAAATGCCCAGGAATTAGGGTGATGTCACTGAGCAATTGCCCGTGTGTGATAACATCACCCACTTGAACACAGAGCATTCGGGTCTGCACAAACAGGTGATTTGCACGAAGGATGTGAGGGTCTGTGGAATTCTGATGCCTAGTTTCATTCCTGTCTGCCCGATGTAATGTTTGTGGTAGTCGTTGCATGGTATTTTGTAAACCACATTGGTTCTGCACGAACGTCAGCCTTCCTACTCCTCTGATGCTGCTTGGTCTGCTGTGTTCATCCAGCTCTACACCTTGTTATCTCTTGGTTCTGCATGTTGTGGGAATGGGGTCTTTAATTCTTGTAAGTGTTTGTTGTAGAGTGGCTGTGGGCTTGTGGGCCACCATGATTCTGAGTGGTCTGAGGAGTCCTGGTGTCAGTTCCCATATGTTCTTGATGTATGGCAGTATGGCCAGTGTGTGAGGGTGTACTGTATCCTCCTGTTGTTGTCTGTTTAACATCGGTAACCTCACCAGTTCCCTCACACAAGGAAATAACCACTGCTGCAGAAGACCATATAATCCCAGTTCCCAGGCCCGGAATCAGAGAAACTCAGTGGCCCAGCTGTGAAGATACAACCCGAAATGGGGATGGCAACGAGTGCGCGGAGCTACTCTGTGATTCCAGTGATGCAATCGGTGAGCACGCGGTCCTTCTGTGAGGGTATAGAGGTGCATGAAAGCAGGGTTAATGTTCCCGGTTCAGAGACCCTTCTTCAGAACTCTTCAGAATGAGGAATGTAACTGTTGGTTTAGTGTTTACCGAAAGTTCAGTCAAATCATGAGCCTGTCCACCTAAGTGAGTTTCTGGTCCGCTTCGCCCCTTTGACATTGTGCGTATGTCAATTATACATTGCTCTGTGTGTGTTTGTGTTTCTGCCTGTCACATTCTGGGTGGTGTGACACAGTGGAATTGTACAGCCAGGAAGGCCAGTCAATAAGTGTGCTTCCATTCAGAAGCAAGAAGGAAGTAACAACGTATTTCAGTTGTGAGTTACCCACCACGGTGTGGTGTAGTGGGAGCATGCTAGGCCCATCACCCAGAGGTCACTGGATTGAAACCATTCTCTGCTGTTTACACCAACAAACTGATGTTTATTACCTCAGCAGTAGCAGCTAAGTTAATTTTGCTCACATTGTTTCTGCATCAGCTTCTTGTTCCCAGTAACCACTTCAATCTGCATTAAACCACATTTATCCTGCCATGGACACACTGCAAACATGCACCAGCTGATACTTTTCCCATCTCATTCAATCCCTTTCTCACCAGGAACTAACACCAGCGTGATGGTGTGAATGGCCTTCTCCTGTTCTCTGTCACTCTGGGATGATCTGAACAGTGAAAGTTATTCTCTACAGTAAGGCAATGCAGCAGGGAGATAGCACTGCAGTGGTGATATTTATCCAAGTAATCCCTGGGGACTGAAACACAGCAGCTGCGAGAGTTTAAATTCAATGAATAAAATCTGGAATGTAAACCTGAATTTCAGGAACAGAGGCCATGACTTTAATTTCCTGAAATCCCATTCATTCATGTCCCTTTGGAAGGGAAGTCCTTACCTGGTCTGGCATACAAGTGACTTGAGGCCCACAACAACACAGTTGACCCCTTACTGCCCTCTGACATCAGTTCAAGGTAAATTAAGGATGAACAACAAATGGTGTCCTGACCAGCGATACCCACATCCCATGGGAGAATAAGGAAGAACAAAAACACATTCACAACAAGGAAAAATGGCCTTCTGTCTGCATTGACTCGAATTCACCCGATCGCCCAATCTGGATAGAGACAAGGACACCCACAGCACAGAGAAACCAGGGAACTGTGTGGACTGAGGGAAGGATTCAATTACCCGCTGGAGGTGGAAACTCATTTACTCAGTCACACTGGGGCGAGGTTGTTCATCCTTCCCCTGTGTGGGAAGGGATCACTCAGAAAAACAAACTCCGGAGACACCCACAAATTCAGATATGGTTATATTCTGCTATTATAGCTGCTACAAATCCCCAACTAAGAATGAACCGTATCTGGACACCTATTTCCAGTAGAATTCTGAGGATTACTCGATCTGAAACGTCATCTCTGATTTCTCTCCACAGATGCTGCCAGTTCTGCTGAACTTTTCCAGCAATTTCTGCTTTTTAATTTGTTTCTGATTTACAGCAATTGCAGTCCTTTCAGTTTTTAATCCAGTAGAGTTCCACTGTTTTCTGATGTATAACCATCATTAAAACCTAGTTGTAGAAGCCATAATTTAGAAGTTTGCAGATGATATGCAATAAATAATCATGTAGTTGACCATAACGAAGAAAATCGTGGACTGCAGGGAGATATCAATCAAGTGGAAAGATAAAATGGTGAACGGAATTGAATCCAGAGAAGTGTGTGATAATGAATTTAGGGAGACTGAACAATGAAAGTGAGGAATAGTAAGTGGTGTAGAGGAACAAAGAGACCTTAGAATGAACATTCACAAATCCCTGAACGTGGTTCGACAGGGAGATCAGGTGGTTGAGAGGGTTTTGAGATACTTTCTGTTCTTGACCACAGGCTGGAAGAGAAGACCAGGGGGAGATGATGCCAGAGCTTTAACAAACACCAGTTTCGAGAACAGCTAGAGGGCTGAGCACAAGTCTGGTCACTGCGTTAATCAACTTTCTAAAAAAAAAATCATGACAGAAGATGGAGAGCAGGCATAGACTTTTTGGCCCACATCTGCTGCACCATACAATGATAGCATCGCTGATACTGCTCCAAATCAGTTTGGTATGCACCTCAGAGAGGAACTTGCAGATGGTAGTATTTTGATGCATCTTCTAGTCTTGTCTTTCCAAGTGGTACAGCTTGCAGGCTTGGTAGGTGCTGTCAAAGAAGAGTGGGTGAGTAACTGCAGGGCATCTTGCAGATAGTGCACACTGCTGCCACTGTCCCTCAGTGGCGGAGGGAGTAAATGCTGAAGGTACCGAATGGGTCACCAGTAGGTGGTCTGCATTGACCTGGATAGTGTCAGGTTTCTCGAGCGTTGTTGGAGCTGCATCCATCTGAGCAGTTGGAGAGTGTTCTATTACATTCCTGCTGATGCACATGCTTTGGGGAGTCATGAGTTGAAGTAATCACCATAGAATCTCTTCACTTTGACCTATTTGGTAGGCACATTATTCAGATGGCAGCTCCAATTCCGTTTCTCATCAATATTAGCACCCAGGATGATGATAATGGGGAATTCCGTGAAGATATACCCAGTGAATGTCACTTGGCTGTGGTTAGATTCTCATTTCTTGGATTTGGTCATTATTTGTTGGTGCAAATGTTCTTTGTCACATAGCAGGCTAACTTCAATGTTGTCCAGGCATACTGCATTTAGATATCTACTGCTTCAGTATCCAAGGAGCCACAAACGGTGCTAAAGTATTGTGCAATCATCAGCAAACATTGCCACTTCTGACCTTATGACGCAGGGAAGGCCATTGATGAAACAGCTGAAGGTGGTTGGGACTAGAACCTGATCCTGAGGAACTCCTGCGGCTGAGAGGATTGCCTTCCGACAATCATAAGCCTCTTCTTTATTCAGTATTACCAAACCAGGGTGAAGTAGGGTAAGGAGGATAAGAGAATGTATAATGGAAACATAAAAAAAGGAAAAAAAGGAGCAGAACACTGAAACACAGAACAAGTAGAAAATTAAACTTGTCCAACCAGTACAGCATAAGGTAAGAGTCAAATACAACCATATAAGGACATAGTTTCTGAACCTTAAGTAACTGTTGGCGGTTCACTGTTATGGACATGCAGTTAAACTACCTGAGCCACAATAACTATCTGTATAGCTTAAGATAGTCACCTAAGTATTACTCACTCGGAAAGGCCGGCATGCTGTGAGCTGATGGTGGGGTTAGAGAATCTTGGAAGATAATGTGGAAGTGGAAGTCCTGTTGAAATTAGAGGACTCAGAACTTTGTCAGAAACTGAACAGCATCCTGTCTTTGTCGTAAGTAACTGACATACAATTTATTTAATACCAATGTTACATGCAACCATTCTGACATGAAAGTGTCTTAATATGCTGTATTGAGCTGTAAAAAGTTGAGTGTCTCCAAGCTAGACTTCGAGACTTCTTCCACATGTCTGTGGTACAAGTTTGATTAAATTCACCTTTTTTGATCTACCGAGGTCTGAAGATGCAATCTTTTCAAAAACCAGATAAGGAAGAATAACATCCTCTCGTTCCCATTGACTTTAGCTTTGTTATGATTCCTTAATACAATGCTCTGTCAAATGGAGCCTTAAGATAGCGGATAGTCCCTCTCATATTTGGAATTCAGCTGTTTGGTCCATGTTTGCACCAAGATTGTAAGGAGACCAGGAGCTGAGTGGCTCTGGCTGAACTCAAACTGAGATCCATGACCATGACATTACAAAGCAAGTGCTGCTTGATGTCATTGTTGTCTCTGTTTTGACTGCATTGACGTATCGACAGGCCAGACAATTGACTGAAGGCTTGTCCACACAGACCACGTGCATGGTTTCTCTTCACTGTGAACGTTGCTTTTACCTTCCATGTTCAAAGCTCCTGAGGACTGAGTGTTACCTGCAGCTCTTGATCCAATGTTTGACTTGAGCTGCCTGTCTGTGAATTCTCCCTTTCCACGTCCCTGGAAAATAAACTTAAAACAGTCAAAAGTGGAATGAATGCTGCTGGATTTCATAAAACCCCACCTGGATCATTAATCTCCTTGAAAGGACAGAAGTTGAAAAAAACAGGACAAAAATCAGGCTGTGGGAACTGGCTACAGAGCCAGTCATTATTTGTGCAGAGCCAGGAGAGTGCGAGGTTTGAGTAATACCACAACAATGCTGTCTGTGTAACAATACAAACTGTGCAAACTGACCATAACCTTTGTCAGTCTGCAATTAGATAGATATAAATGATATGAGCTTCTGAAAATGCATTACTGTAAGCAAGTGGGAATTCATGGACCACCTTTAGACACAAGCAGTCCCCCTTTATACTTGTGAGACTTGCATCTGGAGTACTGGGTTCAGTTCTGGTCACTGTACTTATAGAAAGTTGTTAATATGTTGAAAGCATTTCAGGGAAGATTTAATTGACTAATACATGGAATGAGTGGATTGCCTTATGAGGAAAGGCTAGAATTTAGAAAAGAAAGAGGAGACTTGACTGAAACATAAGAGATCCTAAGGGGACCTGACCAGGTGGATGTTTGAAATATGGTCCCTCTTTTGAGAGAATCTAGAACAGAGTGTCATTGTTTAAAGGTAAGGTGTGTGTCCATTTGAAACAGTGAGGAACATTTCCTTTCTCTCAGAGGGTTGAGAATCTTTGTAATTCCTTTCATCAAAAGGCAGTGAATGCAGAATCTTTAAACATTTTTCTAAGGCAGCAGCAGACAGATTCTTGATGACTAAAATGATGAAAGATGTTCGGGGATATGCGGGCACATAGAGCTGAGGTTGAAATCAGATCAGCCATGATCTTATTGAGCTGCACAGCAGGCTCGAAGCGCCGCGTGGCCTACTCTTGTTCCTCATTCCTATGTTCAAATAAACTGGAGAACAAAGAAACTCGAGTCTTGTCGGATTATTGGAGGCGAGGAGGGTGTTTGAGCTCCAACTGCACCCACCCAGTGAATGAGTCCCATTTTATACCCTCCCCCGACCAGCTTCAATTAACATCTGGAAAATTTTAATCAAATCAATCTTCATCCTTCTAAATCCAAGGGAATACACTATTCCTGCTGAGATGATGCATTTTCAAAGAAGGAGAAGAGAACATATGAAATAGGAACCACAGCAGTCCATTCTGCCCCTCGAGCCTCAAAAAGGTCAAAGCTGATCTATTTAGGTTTCAATTCCACATTCCCACTTTACCTTGATACTTTTTTTTAAATTCCTGTGTGCATTGCTGGCTGAACCTACTTGCCACTGAGGAGGTGGTAGTGATCTGCTTTGTGAACCACTGTCGTCCATGAGCTGTAGGTGGACCTACAATGCTGTTAGGAAGGGATTTCAGGATTTTGACCCAGCAACACTGAAGGAAGAGCAATATAGTTCCAATGAATGGTTAGCAGCTTGGAGAGAATTCATGCCCAACAGAGCCTCAGAGATCTACGGCACAGAAAAAGGCTCTGCTGACTGTCTGATCTTATCGTTATCTTCTAAGTACTCTGTTATTCCACCTTTTACAGTGGACCCTAATATTTTTCCCCACCTTCATTCCCTGTTTTCTGACTCCCCTTCTTGAATACTGGGGTTACGTCAGCTCCCCTCCAATTCACAGGAATTCTGAGAGTCTATAAAATTTGAGGATAACCACTAGCGCATCTGCTATTTCTCGGGCCACTTCCTCAGCTACTCGGAGATGAAGGTTATCAGTCTCTGGGGATTTATCTGCCTGTAATCCCATTGGATTTCCCAATATCGTTTTCCTACTAAAACTAATTTCTTTCAATTCCAAATTCCCATTAAGACCATGTGATCCCCTTAATTTTGGGACATTATTTGTGTCCTCCTTTTTGAAAACCTGAGACACATTTTATTGGCCTACCATCACTTTGTGTCCTATTATAACTTACCTGTTTCCGATTGTGAGGAGACCCTATTTTCTTCTTGACTAAGCTTTTACTATCAATCTTGAATTACGAGTTTAATGATGATCAGGAAACAGTTGTTGACCGCCAGGAAAAACCCATCTGGCTCATTAATATCTTTCAGAGAAAGAAACTGTCATTCTTACCCGGTCTGGCCTGTACGTTACGTTACTCCAGTCCCACAGCAATGCAGTTGACTCTGGACAGCCCTCTGGGGAATCACGGATGGGCAATAAATTCTGGCCGAGCCAGCAATGCCCATATCCTGTGAATGAATGAAAAAAAAAAAGAGTGCTATTGGTTTGAATGGTCCCTGCAACCGTACT